GGAAGCAATTTTTTGCAAAAACCTGTCATCTCTAAAGTAATGCATATTCTTATAGAATTTGCCCTGCATTAAAGCTTAAAAGAAGAGAGTCATGCTAATAGCTTTTCAGAACAATATTTGTAAATTAAGGTTTTTCTATATGAATTGTTGTAAAAAGGATCAGAAGTGTGCCATTCGTGTATTTCTTAATTCGCCTGGAATTCACTTTCAGCATTTCGGTGGAATAGACATTTTGGTATTTTCTCCCACAAAAATTGGGGACCATTTTATCTGTTAACTGTTATCCTATGGCCATCCAAAATACTTGGCAGTGCCGATACAGAACCCCCACTTAAAATCGGACGATAATTATGACGTGTCAGAAAACTATCACTTTTTGGTCCATTTGATCCCCTAAATATTTAGCGATCATCTCCAAAAACATCAGGCTTCTATTCTGACACTAATGCCATGTTTACGTTAGAACTTTTTGTAGGGTTAACCTACTTTGAGAGGATTTATTTGAAGTAAAAGTAATGGATATGACAATTTAAATCCAAATCCAGTGGTATATATAAACGTACTATAACCCACCTCCATCCAACATTTCGTGAGGATCGGGCCCTAAATATGCCCTGTATATAATATCCTAACTATATATTGCTGTAAGGAGTAAAAGTATTACAAAAAGTAAAATTCATTATTGTAAGTAAAAATGAAAATATCTTATGCGATAAAAATGTGACAAAATAGAAAAAATATAAGAAAATATCATAAAATCAATCAATCAATTTAGCATTATTTTTAGGCATTTTAATTTTTTTGTTTGGCATTTTTTAGCATTATTTTTATGCTGTTTTAGCTGCAACACTATTTAAGATCTGGTCACACTGTTCCGCACACAAAATTTGTTGAGCGAACAAATTCAAAATTTAATGAAATTTGAGGAAGACTTAAATTATGAATGAAAACTACACTATTGAAAGCCGTATGTACAGTAAAACGAAAGCAAATTTTGTTTTCTCTCTCATCCGAGGTACCCATTTTGTCCACGAGTTGAAATTTCCACAGAAATCTAGAAACAAAAGAGGCAATATTTTCAAAATGTTTGTATCGGCAGAAAAAAATGTTTGACAAGTGTCTCTACAGCAGAATTTAAAAATAGAAAAATGCAAAAATATTAAATATATGTTCAAAATGTCAACATTTACACAAAAAGTTGAAAACATGAATGAAAATTGTAAAATTAATTATATAATAAATCTTTGGGGGAAAAACAATAATCTTTTCTATTGATATTAGTGAGAATTTCATGTATTTTCGTAAAAATTACCATTAAAATCAAAAAACAATATTTATGCAAAAAAGGAATTATATAACTATGAATTACGAATGGTGCCGAAAGAACGGGATAATTATAACTATGTAAATTATTGCATGAAATTTGTAAAAATTTTTGCATCGGCCACTACACAGTTGTTTTTCAATCAGCTGACGTTACGGGATTCATTTTACTTATTACATTTTTGCTGTAACATTTCAAGTTTGACAAATACTTAATTTTTGGCGAAAGAAATAAATAAATTAATAGTCAATATTTAATTGGCAACAGCAGTATTTATGTAACTATCCCATTACAAAAACCTTAATAAAATTGTATAAAATACTGAATAAACACAAATATTTTTATAGTTGTGCGTTCATATTCTGTTGCTTCTTCGGAATAAAGACTATCGGAATTGCGTTCTTGTTGGCATTTCGAATTGTTGCGCTTCAGTTCTGCCTCCAGGGCTTCAATTCATTGCCACGATGGTTGTTGTTGTTGTAGCAGTAGTACATGCATGTGTTTGCGTTCTGACAATATGGTTCCAGCTCCAGGTTTAGAAATTCGGCTACTTTAACGGGCTGTAGCCAGATATCTTCTGGAGTAAGTGGTTTGGCTGTGCAATTAAAGAGGTGTAGCGTATTGTGCGAGCCTGTATCGCACGCCGGGCAGGCGTCAGGCACATCTTCATCAATTCGTGCCCAATACGAATTGAGACGACTACACCATCCTGAACGTAATTGCCCCAAAACTACCCTGGTTTGTCTAGGCAGCTGACGTTCTTCAGCTGCAATGGATGGTGGGTGGACTCCGAGGATGGCATTCACTTTATAATTGCTAATAGCATCCGCGACTGCATCGGTGTGAATGCCACTCAAACCTGCCTGATAGGCTTCTCGATCTAGAGGTTCTCTCTTGTAGCGCTGGACCTCCCTCTCTAGATCATGTATGTCCTTCCTGACACGCCTGGGTGGGGGAGATTTATCTACCATATGATGGTTGGGATGACTCTCACGGTAACACCCAAGCAGGTACTGCAACGAAAGCATATGATTATGCTAACGTAAGGGAAGGACTTTCGCCTCCTCATGTAGATGGTCCACATGCTGTCGAACGTGACCCCAAGAATCTTGGGGTAGTTCGTGGTCGGTATTAGATTCCCCTCGACCTGAACATTCAGCTGTATTCTCATCTCCGCAGACCAAGTGGTAAAGAGTGTGGCCGTTGGTTTCGTGGCGGATATTTTCATATTCCTCGCGTGGAAGTATGCGGCAAGCTCCGTGAGATAGGGGTTCAGCCTTTCGCATATGTCATCGACCACTGGACCCGACGCTATGATCATACAATCATCCGCATACTTTACGATCTCAATGCCATCTGGAGGGGAGGAATTCCGGAAAGGTATCACCCCACCTTGGGGAACTCCCTGTTTCACTCTACGTGCTTTGGACTTACCAACACTGTTCTGTCACACGGCCTGTTCTGGTTCAGTCCTCTACTATAATGGCATGTAATGCTGTTGTGGTACTATGTTGTGGACGGAATCCGTGCTGGTGGTTGGCAACTGTAAAGCTTCCTCTAATGCTGGGGAGGAGTAGAGTCTTTGCTACTGGCGACAAAAGCGAAATCGGCCTGTACGATTCACCATTACCGGCATCCTTGCCTGGCTTCAGTAGCGGGACCACCCGGCCCATTTTCCAGGTTTCGGGCACTATGTGGGTGGCTAGCGACAAATTGAGAACTTTCATTAAGTACTCGACTCCCGGCGTATCCAGCTGCTTCAGCATTACCATTGAGATTCCGTCCGGGTCCAACGCTTTAGATGACTTAGCGTTACGGATGACATTTGCAACATCACCCATTGTAAACTGTGGTGGTTCCTTCTCGGCGGGAAGAGATCTGATACGACGTAGTACTCTTCGCTTCGCCCTATCGCTCTCGGGGTGCTCGACAAATAGACGGTTAAAATATTCCGCGCAGCTCTTCGGATCAGTCACCGTTAATGAGGTCCTATCATCCTTTTTTCCAGGGTTCGAGTGCGACTTAACCGTTACCCACAGCTTACTCAAATCGGTTTCAATGTTGCAGCACTTCAGACGGTTTAGCCACATTTTTCTCTTATGCTCTTGTACCAACCGGTTGATTTCCACTGTCAAATCACTGATTCTAGGATCAGCAGGGTTGGTACGACGGAGATCATCACGCTCGTTTGCTAATCCCGCTGCGTTGATCCCCTCTAGTCATTACCTAGGACGGAATGCCACAACTCATGGTGGGCATTAAAATCCCCTAGTACCAGGCGGTTATAGCCTACCAATAATGGACTAATATCAGGCAAATAACGCGGATCACAGATATTAATCAGCGGGATATACACATTAAGCACCTCTACCTCGACAGTTCCACACTTGACCGCTACCCCCATACATTCAATGTATGGGTCACTAGAGATTAGCTCAAGCGAGATAGGTCTGTACTGAACAGAATGGTGTAAGAGGAACGCTAATCATCCACCTCCACTTCTGGCGCGATCCTTCCTTAGTACGTTATAACTATAACAACGTTGTAGGCTGCAATTTTCATTCAGCTTGGTTTCCTGTTCCGCTGCGATCTTAATATTCCTCCGACTCATAAATTCCACTATCTCATCAATTTTGCTTCGATGTCAAGAATGATGCAAGAATGATGCACAATCCGGAGTTGGAACAGCAACATGTGGCGTTAGGTGCTGCGGTGTTGGTTGCTGTTCTGGAGACTGCGGTGGAGTGCCATACTCCGACGACGTCTCTGATGAGGACGACGAAGAAGTGGACTCGCTGGGGACTACGTCACTGCAGCAAGTCGCAACATAATCCCTTTCGCTGTAGTCTCGCAAACGCCTTAGTTCGGAACAGTTCTTGAAGTGCACCCATTCTCTACATCCATTACATCGCACCGAAACAGATCTGTGGTGGATGACGTTCTGACAAACCGAGCAGAACCAAGGTCCGGGGTTTTCCTCAATCCATGCACGGACCAATAAAATCCGGAGCAAGCATTACGGGATGTGCTTCTTCCAATGCAGATAAATAAGCAAACACAAACAAGTACATACTGGGTTGGGAGCCGCTGGCCGAAACTGGGATCTTGTTGTTTCGGGTCAATCCGGTATCATAGAACCCGCTGCCGTGGGATTGTGCCACGATGGTGGGGATGTGCTTTGATTATTAACACACTACAGTAGCTTTTCGTTAGTTTTTGCAAATAATCAGCTGATTTGTCAAAGCAAAACAATTTATCATCCACAAAAAGAAATGAAACAGGACAAAAAAATAAAAATGAACCAACAAATAAAACAAAAATGTTTTAAAATTGCTTGCCCAAATATAAAATGACAAATTTCTTTGAATGACTTCACTATAATGTCCATTAGGATGTTGACTTAATTGTCTTTGATTTCCCTGTCCAGGCACTCTTTATTGTCCTGCCTAAGCCTTTTATTAATATTACGTGTTGTGTCCAATTAGTTTTGGATTTATTGCGGAAGCTTTTTGTTACTTTCAATTATATTGTCCATCAGAGCGTTGCGATTTTAACATCTTTTTATGATATAATTTTAAAGGTTTATATTTTCAATTCTTCTTGAACGATTAAAGGTCTACTGACCTACAGATCAAAGTTAGGTCATGATGCTATAATATTCTCGAATTTCCTGCAGATGAAGGAGAAGGTCATGTGGGTACTGTTTGCGAAATTGGACGTTTAGGATCTGTACACTCCCCAGAAAATACAGTGGTTGTGAACTGGGATTCAGGCCATAGAACGAATTATCGCGTTGGATACCAAAACCAATACGATTTGATAATAGTAGATAATGCACAAGTCGGTAAGATTAAATTACAATAGTGATGTGAGAATATGTACCATGGTAATTTTTAACTTTAAGGTGTGCGTCATCCCAATGTTGTATGTGATGGCTGTTCTAAATGCGGAATAGCCGGAATTGTTTTTAAATGCGAACAATGTGCAAATTACCATTTGTGTTCCAGTTGTTATGGAGCAGATTTGCATGATAGAGAACATCCTTTCATCAGATATACGACACCTACTTCATTAGGGTGAGTATTTTGAAATAACAATATGAATGAATTGAGAAAAGGAAAAAAAATCTTTGGTTTTAGGGTTCATGTTCCACCTCGCAAAGGGAGCAAGCGGATTCAATTAAGAGGAATTTTCGTTGGAGCAAAAGTAGCGCGTGGCCCAGATTGGGAGTGGGGCCAACAAGACGGAGGTGAAGGTAATAATTCAAACTCATTGTAATATGTATAACAATTTTACTTACTTAATTGTAACAACTACACAAGAATAAGATGAGAAGAATAAGATAAATATGAGAACGCTACCACCATTTCATTTCTGTTGAGTTTCGTTTAAGAAAATTCAACTTAGTCAAATGGATGTAGCATAATCGGTTCCCGCGATCTTATCGCTCGTCGGCTGGGTAGGTTCTTCCCTATGCTTAACAATGGTTAGAAACAGCAATAATTTTAAAAGTTCTAAATGGCATGCATTTAAAGAAATACATAGATGTTGAAGAATAGGAATAAAAAGAGGAAGCATTAATCCCATTGTGAAGCTATGAGATTACTCGTTGATGTTATCGTACCTATTTCATTATGTCCGCTCAACCATGTTACCAATTATTCTACATGTTTGTGTTTGTTTATTTTTCTGCATTGGGAGCAGCATCTCCCGGAATGCTTGCTCCGGATTTTATTGGTCCGTGCCGGGATTGAGGAAAACCCCGGACATTGGTTCTGCTCGGTTTGTCAGAACGTCATCCACCACAGATCTGTCTCGGTGCGATGTAATGGATGCAGAGAGTGGGTGCACTTCAAGAACTGTTCCGGATTAAGGCGTTTGCGAGACTACAGCGAAAGGGATTATGTTGCGACTTGCTGCAGTAACGTCCTCTTCTTCGTCGTCCTCGTCAGAGACGTCGTCGGAGTATGGCACTCCACCGCAGTCTCCAGAACAGCAACCAACACCGCAGCACCTAACGCCACATGTTGCTGTTCCAACTCCGGATTGTGCATCATTCTTGCAATTCAACTGCAACGGACTTCGAGGCAAAATAGATGAGATAGTGGAATTTATGAGTCGGAGGAATATTAAGATCGCAGCGGTGCAGGAAACCAAGCTGAATGAAAATTGCAGCCTACAACGTTGTTATGGTTACAACGTACTAAGGAAGGATCGCACCAGAAGTGGAGGTGGGGGATTAGCGTTCCTGTTACACCATTCTGTTCAGTACAGACCTATCTCGCTTGAGCTAGTCTCTAGTGACCCATACATGGAATGTATGGGGGTAGCAGTCAAGTGTGGAACTGCCGAGGTAGAGGTGCTTAATGTGTATATCCCGCTGATTAATAGCTGGGAACCGCGTTATTTGCCTGATATTAGCCATTATTGGTAGGCAATAACCGCCTGGTACTAGGGGATTTTAATGCCCACCATGAGCTGTGGCATTCCGTCCTAGGTAATGACCAGAGGGGATCAGCGCTGGCAGAGCAGATTGACTGCTCCACATTCTGCACGGTGAACGAGGATGCCCCTACCCGAATAAGAGGAGAGTGTCACAGTTCGCCAGACTTAACCATAGTGTCACCCGGTCTGATAAATGACGTGACTTGGCAACCCGTCATTTCTCTTGGCTCAGACCATCTCCCGATAATCGTCTCCATAAGCAGGTCGCCCGATTTCATAACCTCTGAACGCCGCACTTTTCTTAACCATGGGAAAGCTCACTGGCCAGAGTTCAGAGAATTCACCAACCGCCGCTTCAGAGAACTGCCCAACCCTTCTGATGTTCGGGTAGCAGAAAGGATTTTCCGAAACATCATCAGAGCTGCAGCCGCTCGCTATATACCTGCTGGTCGAATACCCGAGATAAGACCAAACTTCCCAGCAGAGGCAGCGGGATTAGCAAACGAGCGTGATGATCTCCGTCGTACCAACCCTACTGATCCTAGAATCAGTGATTTGACAGTGGAAGTCAACCGGTTGGTACAGGAGCATAAGAGGAAAAAGTGGCTAGACCATCTGAAGTGCTGCAACATTGGAACCGATATGAGTAAGCTGTGGGTAACGGTTAAGTCGCTCTCGAACCCTGGAAAAAAGGATGATAGGACCTCAGTCACTTTTAACGACGTAACGGTGACTGATCCGAAGAGGTGCGCGGAATATTTTAACCGACAATTTGTCGAGCACCCCGAGAGCGATAGGGCGAAGCGAAGAGTACTACGTCGTATCAGATCTCTTCCCGCCGAAGAGGAACCACCACAGTTTACGATGGGTGATGTTGCAAATGTCATCCGTAACGCTAAGTCATCCAAAGCGTTGGGCCCGGACGGAATCTCAATGGTAATGTTGAAGCAGCTGGATACGCCTTGAGTCGAGTACTTAACGAAAGTTCTCAATTTGTCGCTAGCCACCCACATAGTGCCCGAAACCTGGAAAATGGCCCGGGTGGTCCCGCTACTGAAGCCAGGCAAGGATGCCAGTAAAGGCGAATCGTACACGCCGATTTCGCTTTTGTCGCCAGTAGCAAAGACTCTTGAGGCTTTACTCCTCCCCAGCATTAGAGGAAGCTATACAGTTGCCAACCACCAGCATGGATTCCGTCCACAACATAGTACCACAACAGCATTACACGCCATTTCCACACATATTAGTAGAGGACTGAACCAGAACAGGCCGTGTGACAGAACAGTGTTGGTAGCCCTTGACCTATCAAAGGCATTTGATACGGTCAATCATGCCACACTGTTTGAGGACGTACAGAGAACTACCCTCCGGCCAAGTTTGAAACGTTGGATAATCAACTATATGTGTGGACGCCAGTCGTATGTGGAATTCCGGAACAAGAAGTCCAAAGCCCGTAGAGTGAAACAGGGAGTTCCCCAAGGCGGGGTGATATCTCCGGAACTGTTTAACCTCTACCTTTCCGGAATTCCTCGCCCTCCAGACGGCATTGAGATCGTAACGTATGCGGATGATTGTACGATCATGGCGTCGGGTCCAGTGGTCGATGACATATGCGAAAGGTTGAACCCCTATCTCGCGGAGCTTGTCGCATACTTCCACGCGAGGAATATGAAAATATCCGCCACGAAATCAACGGCCACACTCTTTACCAAATGGTCTGCGGAGATGAGAACACAGCTGAATGTTCAGGTCGAAGGGAATCTAATACCGACCACGAACTACCCCAAGATTCTTGGGGTAACGTTCGACAGCATGTTCAAGTCGTCCGCGCAAGCCACAGCTATCTGCGACAAGATGAAAAGTAGGAACAAGGTCCTCAAGGCGCTAGCCGGCAGCTCTTGGGGTGCGGACAAAGAAACCTTGTTGACCTCTTATAACGCGATAGGTCGGTCTGTGGTCAACTATGCGGCTCCAGTGTGGTCTGCGAATACTAGTGCTACCCAGTGGAAGAATATCCAGACCTGCCAGAACGCTGCCCTGAGAACTGCGACAGGGTGCCTCCTCATGACACCAGTGGACCATCTACATGAGGAGGCGAAAGTCCTTCCCTTACGTCAGCATAATCATATGCTTTCGTTGCAGTACCTGCTTGGGTGTTACCGTGAGAGTCATCCCAACCATCATATGCTGGATAACTGTCCCCCACCCAGGCGTGTCAGGAAGGACATACATGATCTAGAGAGGGCGCTACAAGAGAGAGCCTCTAGATCAAGAAGCCTATCAGGCAGGTCTGAGTGGCATTCACACCGATGCAGTCGCGGATGCTGTTAGCAGTTATAAAGTGAATGCCGTCCTCGGCGTCCACCCCCCATCCATTGCAGCTGAAGAACGTCAGCTGCCTAGACAAACCAGGGTAGTTTTGGCGCAATTACGTTCAGGATGGTGTAGTCGCCTCAATTCGTATTGGGCACGAATTGATGAAGATGTGCCTGACGCCTGCCCGGCGTGCGATACAGGCCCGCACAATACGCTACACCTTTTTAATTGCTCAGCCAAACCTACCCAACTCACTCCAGAGGATCTCTGGCTACAGCCCGTTAAAGTAGCCGAATTTCTAAACCTGGAGCTCGAACCAGATTAGCAGAACACAAACACACACATGTACTACTGCTACAACAACAACCAATTATTCTCCAAGATCTTATGGTAACCCAAAATAAATGCAAATAGAAATGAAAATGTTTAATTTAGTTCATGAGTTTAATACCAAATCCATGCATATACATTTCACATAAAATTAAGAAAATTCAGTTGAAATTTATAATACTGTGTTCTAGCATTGAATATGAATACAAATGATCACTAGCATTTTGATATATAAATTAAAAGATATGATTTTGTTTAGAAAAAATAAATTAATAAGAAATTGTCTGATACGTGTGTATATCATGAAGATTATGCAACCCAAACTGTAACAACTGTCGTTGCAAAGGAGATACAGCTCAATGTATTGCAACATGCAGAGATTGATAAAACGAAAAATAGGAGGTGGTAAAAATGCAAAATAATTTGCTAAATAAAAACTTCGGGTACGCTTTTATGCTCTTGATAAATAAATAAATAAATATATATATATATATATATATATATATATATATATATATATATATATATATATATATATATATATATATATATATATATATATATATATATGTATATATATATATATATATATATATATATATATATATATATATATATATATATATATATATATAGTGTCGTACAATTACACTTATTAAGCAATGGAAACTCGTGGTTTTTAATTGTTATCATTCGAAAAGTTATCATGCGTTTAAATACTCTTCTCAATTTTAAAAGTTACCACAAATGAATGTACATGTACATACACACGAGATTGGTACGCTGACTTAGGGAACTAATTTATAATTCATAATATTTGATTCCAAGTTTTAGAAGGTAATTAGTATCTTTTACATTTCTCGAAAATTCACTTCCAACCGACAGATCTCAGTGTTCACAAAGTATTGATTTCTTCTTCTTTTTTGAGACGTGCAGATTGTATTTGTATTTGACGCACGCAGTTTGTAAGTTTCAATATGACTGATCAACGTCTGTCCTGCCAATTTTCAGCCCAACCATTGGTTAGACGTTTTGTCTACAGTGTTGGGCGACCTAACGGCAAAATTGTTAGTATTTACTTTTTTGTATTAATAAGAGAAGTATCATAATGCCTCACTTTGTCAATGCAGACTTTTTTATACTATTCCAGAAATTCAATTTTTA